ACGTAAACCCTGTACTTTCGATATCCGAATGCAGGGATCTTGGCTCTGCTCACGATAAAAACATGTTCGACATTCCATTCGCGCGAGGGGCGGTTAGCCTCATTGTGAACATGAGGCTGGTGAAACACACCAACATGCTATCTGCAGTCACTTTGGCTGCGGAGGGCTAGTCGCGAGCCCAGCAGCACGCTTTCGAGTCCAATCCCAATCCCTTCTTACGCAGGGCTCGAAGTTTCAGATCTTATCGGTACCGCCTGTTGACAACGAGAATGAATGTTAGATACTGGATGTATCTCAACATTGCCTAGATCATCCAGACGAATGGGATCTAGGTAGTCAAAGCGTGTGCGGCGCACATACGAGAAACCTTTGGGAAGCGGACCGCTATACACTTTAGTGAGTTTATGGTACATCTCTAACCCCTCCGAACCATTCAACATCTCGAGAGATGACATGGTTCTCTCGCCAGTATAAGCCGCCGTGCCTCTGATTATCACAGTCCCCGTTCAGAGGGACCTCTCACATGCGAAGATGCCCGCATGTCGATTTCCCAAGCTCCTTCATTGTTAGAAGCCACTATTCGTCAGCAACCAGGACATTTCCCGGAATCAAGGCCCAATTAACTATGTTGTTCACAGGCACCAAATTACAACTTGAGTTCTTGTCAATGAACCATCAATGTTTCCCCGTCTCGGAGCTTTTTGGACCACCGGTACCTCTGAATTCTAGATTGAAGACTATACAGACCTTCGCGGGACTCAGCAAGCTTTGGGTCGACTTCCACCCGTTTACTGCTCGCTGTCGCTTCGGAATTGATGAAGATATACGCGGGGCGAACTCTCGTCAACTGACTCGCTCTGGTGACGCAGTTCTTCATATCTCAGTTCCTCTACCCGAGCTTGCCTGGCTCGGACAAGGCGGTTGTTGTGACCCGTCGGGCTATCTCAGCTGAGCTGTGAGATATCACAATATGTAAGGGGTGTGTGTGCCGATGCCATGGCGGAATAGAACTATCAAATGCAGGTTGCAGGTTCGTCGTTCTCGTGCCCTTTTACGATGGTACCAGCTGATACTCGCGCTGACATCCCAGTGTCAAGCCCATCCAGAACATTGGGTTACTCAGGGTTGAACGGGTATAAATGTTTTGGCATTTTGCAGATTTGGAACAAGGGCGTCATGTACCGCGCGAGTGGTTGTGCGATTGAGGGGGAATCTGACTGAAATATCCTGGAATTTATCTCCATAGTTGGAACTACCGATGTCCACCAACCCTTCGATACCAGCATGCCTTGCTTTCTGCACGTTTTGTCCAGCATGGGTCCCTGGGAGGCTCAACATGAGGCTCCTGCATTCCCGCCGTACTTTGTCCTTGTAATCAAATGAAAGAATCAGCACCCAAAGAGATCTATCTGTTAATATGACGAACGCAGCGTGGGCGACAAGTAATAGAAAACACACTGGGCTTTCCTCGAACTATTAGCTACAGCTATGTACAAGAATGTACACGAATACCCGACAGAATGTAACAATAATCTACAGATCAAAGCATCCACGACGGACCGGACGTCTAATGAATCATAACAAGGCAAATGTAACAATGGAAAGCAAGAAGAGGAGGACGTGACCGTCCAAATGAGCCCGAATCGCCGATGCCGCGTTCCCTTGTGAGCTGTCGCTGTTACCTGACTCAGACTTGCGGGGGTTGGGGTTGCCGTTTGCAGTGGAGTACACTATACAGGGGTGAAGATCAGTTGGGTTCATGAAGGCAGATCGGATTGGAGCGTACGGATAGAATTGAGTAGGATATCACCAGAGTCTCCCGCAGCTTCCCAGATAGCGAAACCCTTCAGTCCTGTGGTCTTGATAAAGTCGCCCTGCACCACGAGTCAGATAGCCTGTCATCGAGACAGAAGTCAAAATTCCCACCTTTGCAGCGAACGAATCTGCGTCATCGAAAGAGACCAAAGTCTGGGTTTGGCTGTTGTACACATAGGGCTAGCAGGACACATATTGAGCGACTGTAGTCAGGAGCAAGCCAATAGGTAACACGGCTTACCGTCTGACTGCAAGTATCGTACTTGAACGCAATTCCATCCTTCGCCGTTCCATTGGAACCAAGGTAACCCGAATCTATCAGCCCTCGGAAGGCGAACACCCCCGAAGGACCGACGTAGTTACCACAAACATCCAATCCACCTTCCGAATCCCACTTATCCCCAGAATGTGCAGCTTTTGCATTGAACTTAGGGAAAGAGGCAAGTTCCGTCGTCGAGCCGGATTGGAAGGCGTCCGCCTTGTCCACAACAAAGGAGTGACCAAACGCGGGCACACCCAACACGATCTTGTTGAGTGGGATGCCTGCATTGGACCACGCTTTGACGGAGGTCACCGCGGACCCGACTCGATTGCTCTGGTCGGTACATGTATCATTCAATGGCGCGTTAGGACCGGCTGACGGCGATGTGGCACCCCATAGATCGTAGTTCATGATTGTGATGAAGTCGAAGACTTGTCCGAACCCTGACAGATCTGTAGATGGCACGCCGTTTGTATCGTTCCAGGGTTGGATGGAGGTCGCGGTTGACAAAACCATTTTAGCGCCGACAGGATCTTTTCGGAGTTCTTGCAGGAACAACAGGAAATTGGCTGTGTCGTTGCTACTGATCATGTTACAACCAACGCCTTGCCGATTCGGATACTCCCAGCTGAATGGGGAGAAATCGTTGAGAGGGTAATCACAAGTGTAAGTGTAATAGTCCACGCACTCAAAGTCCAGGCCATCTAACTCGTACTTCTTCACCACGTCGACAACCGACTTGACGAATGTCGATCGGTTTTGTGCAGAACCAACGTTTGTTGAAAAGTACCGAGAACCGGTCCAACCGCCGATAGAGAGTGTAGCTTTTACGTTCTGAGGGAACGAATGTGAACATCACGGTTTCAGCGGAGATAGATTCGGACTTGCATGTTGATGTGCCGCTTTAACGAACTGGGGTAAAAGCTCTTCGTCCGAGTCTACAAGCGATAGTTGACCTGGGTCGGGCGTTGTGACGCTATATAAGAGGTATTCAATGGGATTCAGCCGTACGGAAAAGTAATGCTCACGCGAAAGCATAGGTCATATGCGTGTATTTCTCCCAACTGACACTCGACAAAGGGAAATCTGTCGCATGCCATCCCGCATACCAAGCCATTGCTACCTTGGAACCGCCCAAAATTGTCGCATTGAAGGATGATCGTGCTTGTATCAAGGCGTTGACCGCGTAAATGTGGTCCGTAAGGAGAGTGACGAGTAGAACATTGAACCCCAGCATGGTCGTGAAGAGGAAAGGGAAGGTGCTTCTTTACGTGTGAGCTGAGGCTAATGAGAGAAAGAGACAGCAACGCACCTCAACCATGCATCGAAAAAAATTCCTGTTTTTGGCACGCATGTCATCCATCACGTTTCGGTGGGGTTGCAGGATACAGGTACCCCACAACGGAGGCAGTACAACATTTGCGGTTGTTTGAGGAGAATGGAAATAACTCCATGCTGAGGAGCAACTATGAACGCGATATAGAGTCGATGTGTATCATTGGAGTGCAGTCAACGAGCATAGGAGGCATGGACGATGGAACTTGGAAGCGAGAAGACAGGCAGATTGGACTCTGGAGACTGAGAGCTGAATGATTGCGACTATTTATGGTATACAGTTCTCACGAAGTGCCTGCCGAAGAAATGCCGGTTGATGGCCTTCCTCAATCTCTGAGGTTTCGAGGTTTCTGTTCGTCGTTCTCGTCAACTTTGCTCCTGGGGACCAACTAGTCTCTCATTTCACTGAACCGCTGGCCGTAAAAATCTTCGGTATTAAGTTGTATTCCATTCAGTTCTCGTTGATTGCTGGTTCAACTTGAACCCGCTTCTCTCCGCAAACCTCCATGGCCGCCAGATCTCAAGCTCTACGCCTTCAGAAGGCTTTCTTGTCTAATTCATACTTTGCGGTAGCAGGTGCCTCAAAGGTTCAGAGCAAATTTGGAACAAAGGTTCGTGCCTCCGGATCATTGACAGAATACCTTTCACTCGTTCTCCAGGTTCTGAAGTGGTATCTGAACCGAGAACTGAAGGTTCAGCCTGTTCACCCAGTACGCTAGATGTATGTCTCTCCGATATTTCGACCTACTTTCGTCGCAGAAAGAGCCTCAATTGGAAGGAATTGAGACCATCCGATCGGTTGAAACCTTACCTTCTCCTACCAGCACGTCTCTGAGCATCATTACCCCACCTTCAGTGCGTCAACTCCTCTGTATAGATCTCCAGCGATCTTCGCTCTAACCGGAATGTTAGGTCACCCTGGGCATATTGAAGCAGGTCAAACAGCTGGGAATTCCGTACGTCTGGCTTCAGCCGGGTGCCGAAGACGCAGAAGTGGTTCAGTTCATAAAAGAGAACGACATGGAGAACACAGCGATCTATGGGGGTCCGTGTGTTCTTCGCGATGGGGATGGGATCCGCCACGCAGACTGAGGACGCGAGCCGGAGACCCAAGTCCGGAGGTGGTTTGGTTTTGTATCCGTAAGATCATTGATCCTCTGCAACCCAGTCTCGGTTCTGGAAACCCATGACAATCATTCGTGCGTTGCTACATAACTTGGCGTCGCGTTCGAAGTTTCCCAGAGCTCGGCATAGGTCCTACCGACTGAAAAAGACTCTTCTCTGGGTCGCAGGTGCAGGCATCCCCAATTCCCCTCTACTCAATCTTCGACAACGATGCTTTGCTGCCAAAGGGCGTAAGAGGGCACAGGTACTTGATAGCCAGCGACACTGACGGCACTCTCTTCTCGGTGCTGTAGACAGTGTGAGTACAAGGCCGGATATTATAGATGATTGGATGAACTATAATACTGCTATATCTCAGAGCCATGCGGAGAGGAACTAAGCGTCATCATACCCGAAGACATCCGAGGTAGACCATTTCACGGAAGAGTACAGTACATTTCAAATGCCGCGTACTAACTCAGGATACACCGTTCGGGAATCGAACCCGAGCCGCTTGCTTGCACCCTAAGCCTAACTCTATGGAAGGCAAGCATGATAACCACTTCACCAACGGTGTAATTAGCAATCTAAAATATCCAGGTACACGTCAAGGATCCATGGGAGGTCTACAGTTTTCAGAAAAACTGAGCTTTAAGCGGAGGTGCCACAGATAGTCCTACCATGAGCTAGACAGCTGCACGCACAGAAGTTCTTTTAGATTGTGATTTCACCAATCCAGCTTTCTGGTGAACTTCTAGCATGATTGATCATTTTGAAAATACAAGCTACACTTCAACTTTCTCTGTTGCTACCGGAGCCCTTGCCTGGAGTTGTTCAACCGCTGTTCAAGGGGTGCAATGTTCTTGGCCACAACACTTCTTGCCCGAGTCGTCTCCAGGGAGACACAATAGCTCTGGTGGAAAGAAGACGTCAGCAACGGGTCGATCATAAGTAGCAGCAGCCCGAGAACAAACCCACATACATACCACTGTCGAAGAACTATCGAGGAATTTACTTTCGTCCGCAGACCTGATTCAGAACTCAGACGCGGGGCAGCACTCGCATGAACCCTTCTCGGCGGGCCTCGAAGTCTCCGTCACGCTGACTGCATCGTCCCCGCATTGCCCGCAATCCATACCTTCAACATCCTTTTCGTCATAGGAACGGTTAGCACCACTGCAGCATCCTCCGCAGGAGTCCGCTGGCACTGAAATGATTGTCAGGGCGCCACAATCTTGACTGCAGCACTTCTTGCCGTCGATCGGAGCGCAGCAGCCCTAGAGGAAAGCAAATATCAGTAGTGTATCGATCAGACGGAGGGTAGGCTCAAATACCAGAGTTGAGCAAGCATCAGAAGTGGGTGATTCAGTTTCGTACGTAGATCTACATAACTCAGGCTGCGGGCAACATCCATAAGGGTCTCTCCTCTGCTTATGTGTGAGTCTCTCCGCAGAGGGCCCGCCATCACCAGTTATGGATGCGTCCTTTTCGCCAGAACTGCAATCTCCGCAGCATCCTCCGGAGGAGGGCTCCAGTGGATTCGTCGGAACACAACATCCTTGGCTGCAGCTCCGCTTCCTGCCATCATCAACCGGAACACGGCGGCTCTGCCGGTGGCGGAAAGCAGGAATCAGTAAGAAATTGATCGGGCAGAGAGCAAGTTCAAATATCACTGTCGAGGAAGTAACGGAAGTAGGGGATTTGCTTTCGTCCACAGGCTCAGGCTGGGAGCAACACCCGCAAGAATGCTTTTTCTCAGCGACATCCCCTTACCGGCCGTAGCTTCAACGTCCTTTTGACGGCAAAAGTAATCCCCACAGCATTCTCCATCGAAGTCTGGACTTCTGGCCCATCTCCACATCTTCAAATCCTCCCATTCAAAAAGAAAGCCGAGTATCGAGGACGTAGCGTTATCGACCCACCAGCCGCCTTTCCATAGCCTATATATGAGTGATCCGAAAAACAAGACTATCGTGATCTGGATGCATGACAGTGAGTATTGGGTTTCGCCTTGCATAGCGCTACTGTCGAGTGCCCTTGCTAGATAGCCCTTGGGTAACCAAGCCAGTATCATCAAGACCAACGCGGATGCGGAGACGATCAACGAGGCATTAGACGTGCCAGGTTCCTCGTGTTGTACTAGGCCAGATATCGCGGTACCTTCGGTCGCTAACACGAGTGCGAGGAGGAGGCACGCTATTACACTCGACGAGATTCGTTCAAACCTATCCATACACTTCGTCAATACTACTTCTAGGGCATAGTCGAAGAGTCGCTTACTTCAAGTCCCTCGGGAAAGAACCGCAGCCCTCTCTTCTCCTGGCTTTGCTACATGCCAGAAGCGCCAGACTACCGTAATCGCTGAGAGAACCTCAATCCCCGACTGGATACCGAAGAATATAAGTGAACGCGACGACAGTTCAGCTCCCAGTCCGATCGACACCGCACCCTCAGCTGCATTATATACGACGCTGACGATACTGATACCGATAGCATATTGATGGAGTCGTCGATAAGAAGGTATTGCGAGGGAAGGTGATAGGAGAACGTCCCGGAGTGTTGGTTTTTATAGACCAGGTGGTAGGTAGTATGACCTCGGTTCTTTTCTGTTCATACATGTCCTTTAATATGACCAATCCACTAAAGAGCCGTTGTTCGACGTGGTTCATCTGAGGGAAGATAAGACCTAGTCGAATTCAACGAGGTTTGGTGCAAGAATTCTGGAGATTGCCGTCGCCGGCGACTTCGTTGATTCATGAAGGCTCCGACATTTCAATACTTCAAGTCCGATGGTCGGTATGATATGTTCCGAACTAGATGTGAGGATCAGGAGATCGAGGTTCCTTTCACGACTTGACCTGATAAGCTAGTAGGACGGAGTAGCTCAGAGCTGCTATGGTTTTAGTGGTGGTCAGCAAGAAGAGCAAGGTTGGGAGTTCACGATGGCTAAAAATATCTCGCGTTCCCATACTCGCACTCAGGCCTGCCCCAGCCTGTCACTTGGAAATCTCCATTTCCAAGCTCTCCATTTGACGTCGTTCAGCATCTATTCCTCTTCCAGGTTCTGTCGTGTAGGTGGAATCCCTGGGGCGAGCTGACGGCAGCAGAATTCCGCGAACGACACCCGGGAGACTGACCTTGTCCATCCCCAACAATGTCAACGGGACCCTCATGCATATGGTATCCTGATTCCCCCGAGATTTAGGTCACCAACGGTCGGAGCAACTCGCTTGGGGGTGGCGGGATTATGTGATCACAGACGGTACGGAGCTCGCATTTGCATGATCACGAAGCCGGAGCTAGATGGTGCGACTCTGCAGACAGGCTTCAATGAGGTTAAGTGAGTCATCGAGAATATCATAAATCATATTCCCTGCGCAATAGTAAACTAGAGCCCTACCGTGGGCTACGCAAGAGAATGTCTTTGACCTGCATATTGGTGCTCCCGCTTTCTCTAAGGGGGGCATCCAAACTCTTGGGATTTATTGGCTACATCTCCACCACCGTGACTGGCGGTGTCCTTCGGTAGAGTTGTTGAGGCGCGACATTCGTGGCCGCAGCACTTCTTGCCGGTTTCGTCAATTGGGGCGCTCTGTCGGAAAGTAAGTATCAGTAGTAGATCGATCAGGTGGAGAATAGGCTCACATACCAGCGTCGAGGAAGCGTCGGAGGTAGGCAATTTACCTTGGACCGCAGTCTTGCACGAGTCACACTGCGAGGAACACTCACAGGAATCCTTCTTCTCGTCAGACCTCTCCGCGGTGACAGTACCAGTCGTGGCTTCAACGTCCTTTTCATGGGAATGGTGGGCCCCACAGCATCCTCCATCGAAGTTCGGGCTTCTGGCCCACCTCCACATCTTCCATCCTTCCCATCCAAAAAGTAAACCAAGTATTAACGAGGTAGCGCTATCGACCCACCAGCCGCCTTTCCACAGCTTGTAAACGAGCGCCCCAACGAACAAGACTATTGTCATTTGAATGCAGGACAGCGAGCATTGTGTTTCCCCTTGCATCGCGCTGCTGTTGAGTTTCCTTGCTAGGTAGCCCTTAGGTAACCAGACCAGTATCATCAACACCAATGCGGAAGCAGAGACGATCAACGAGGCGTTAGACGTGCTGGGTTCCTCGTGTTGTACTAGGCCGAATATCGCGGTACCTTCGGTCGCTAGGGCCAGCGCGAGAAGGAGGCATGCTATCACGGTCGACGAAATCCTCTCGAACCTATCCATAGCCGTCGTTAGCACTGCTCCTAATGTAAAGTTGATGACCTACTTCAAGTCCCTTGCAGAAAGAACTGCACCTCTCTCTTCTCCCGGTTTGGCTACATGCCAGAACCGCCAGACCACCATCGTCGCTGAAAGCACTTCGATACCAGACTGGATACCAAAGAACACGAGTGACCGCGACGACGATTCAGCTCCTAGTCCAATCGACACCGCACCTTCGGCTGCACAATAAACGATGCTGATGACGCTGATACCGAGAGCGTACTGTTGAAGTCGTCGATACGTGGGCATTGTGGGGAGGGTGATCAGAGTAACAGAAGGTTGCGAGTAGGTTTTTATATAGAACAGGAATGATCTCGGTTCTTTCCTCCTCACACGTATTCAGGCAGCCGAACCAATCCACCTAATTGCCATTCGTCAACGTGATTTATCTGAACGATGATGATACCCACTCGATTTAAGTACATTTGACGCAAAAATGGAGGTTCCTATCGACCGGAGTGCCTCGTGCCCTTTCATCTTGAATCTCCTAGTACAGCTTGTTACAATTTAGCATTGAGACTCGAGATCGCGGTATGCTGCATGAGTCATTTTGAGGAGCTAGCCGGGTTGAGCGAGGTTGGTGAGATAATCGCTAGGATAATTTGAGGGTAACGATGATGATGATTGGGTGCGAAGAGCAAGGTTGTGGGTGCATATGTAAGCAATCACCACATTGAAAACAATCTCACGTTCTCACACCCAAACTCACACTCCCACTTCCGACTTCGCTCGCTTGGCATGATGTGGCAATCAAACGACACGTATCTGAGATTCAAGCTCTCAGTTAGATGAGGATGTTAGACTCAGCGTCTACCGCTCTGCGAGCTGTTGCGGAAGCCCGTATCATCAACCCAAGACAGACGAAAGCCAGGCGAGCACGCACCCTGTTCCCTGTACGAAGCCGCATAGACCCGGGAGTAAAATAAATGCCCATTCATTCATCTGGAGAGACCCAGAACAGGTGGGAGAAAGCTACTTTGTTTGCGGTACGACGATTGCACCATAGGCATCTCACATGTGACAAATGACGATGTCGAATCTTTAATCAGAACTCTCATCACCACACAAGATGGCGAAGGTACTTGTACTGGGAGGACACGGAAAGGTTGCTCTCCGCATCACGAAGCTTCTTGCTGCTCAGAACCATCACGTCGTGTCGGTAATACGAAATGCAGAGCATCTCACCGATATCCGAGCTCTTGCACCTTCTCATAACATTCAGCTTGTGGAGCCTGTGGTGGCTTCTGTTGAGGACGCAGATGACGAAGTAGCGGCCAGGATGATGAAGGATATCGATTGGGTGGTGT